GCTTTGTCCTGCAATAGTGGTAGTATTTTCAATCCCTTTCAACAATGATAAATCGATTTAAATTCAAAAAAAAATTCTATTGAAGACTCACTTTTAAGCCTAAAGTTTTATCCATCAATGGTGGTAGTATTTTCAACCCCATTCAACAACAATTAAAATGGATATTTTTTTTTACTGAAAATTTGACTTACAGCAACACTTATGTAGCAATAGTTATACAGTCGTAGCACTAGCTAACTTATGACAACGGTTTTAGCTATTGCCAAATATCCTTGATCTAATAGAAGAATTCTTAAAATGAATTGTTGTATCATCGCTATAACTGTACCTATAGAGATTATAGGGACTTTTCAAAAAAGTGACAATAAAGTTTCAAAATAAATGGGTAGTAACATAAGTCTTAAGTATTGGGTGTAGGTGACAATTATGTGATTAATAATTAAGAATTGTGGAGTTGCCCTCAAGTTTATAAGTTGACAGTTTGGTCCACTGAATGAAGGGTAAAAGGGTAAATTGATTAAAACCTAATTTAACCAATTTTGGTGGGAATTAAAATTGGGGGAAGCCACCAGCAAGCTGTATCAAAAAGGGAAAATAAAATATTTTCCCCTACCTATCGTCATATTTTTTTTCTTCCTCTTCTTCTTCGTCTTTCTTGTTTTTATTCTCGTTCTCTTTATCTTTTTCTTCTTCTTTTCGTACATTATTGGTCTTGGTTGCTAGTCCTTGAGCTTTCTTCTTTTCATCTTCTTGAATCATATTTAACTAATTTAATCAATGGATTAGATTTTGGTGCTCTCAATTAAAATAACTTCATAAATGATTTGGGTCACACACCATTGTTTTGGTATGTAAAATTAATAGTTCTTTGAAATTATTCATCATCATTTGGGCACCTGCAAATTTTTCAATAATTTGCATTCGCGTTTCCAACAGATAGTTATATGTTGCAACAATTGACTATTCAAACAAATTATAGCCATTTGTAGCAACAGAAAGGTTATTTCAATAGCAACAGAATTAACAGATGTTGCAACATATAACTTACACAAGCTGCAACATATAAGCTAGACATGTAACAACATATGACTTGCATGTCTCAATCGACATGATAGTTATATAATATCATTGTAAATCATTGTTTTAAGTGTTATATCATATTTTTATTGCCTAATTATGGTTTAAGTAATAAAATTTTGTCCAATTTGACATTTTTTTCATCCCTAAATTGCTCAATTTATCGATTAAGTCATTCTTGAAGTGACATGTATGGCAACATATGCACGTTCTGTTGGGAAAATTGCAAGAGAAATGTCATATGTGGCAACGTGTATATATATATATATATATATATATATATATATATATATATATATAATAATAGTTAGTATATATATATATATATATACTACTATATATACTATATATATA